ATGTTAACTGCAAACAATAAGAAAAAGGAAATAGTTATCGATTTACAAAGAAATTCTTCAGTGTTTCATAATATAAGGACTTCTCGCCCTGCGCTGCTTGATTTGACATCCATATATCCAATTTTTCTCAGTCTCTTCATCTCTCTGTTTTATAGAGAATCTCTTTCTCTCCCCCTCTCTCTCCCTTCTCTCTCCCCTCTCTCTCTCTATTCATTCTCTCTCTTCTCTCTTTTCTCTTTTTTTCACTTGTTCTTTTCATTTTCTTCTTTTTGTCATCTGGATCTTTATACATTGATTTTTGAAAAAAGATTGTTTTTCATCAGATTTATTTTATCATTATTTTTCGCATACAACGGGTGAAAAAGCATGTGCGATGACCTGCCCTCATCAGCCGTCAATCAGAAGAGGTAACAAAGTTTTGGTGTCTAAGGCGACACTGCCACCCCTAGTGCCACCAGCAGCATTTGTCACATGACAGGGTATTGTTTTTATTTATGTAGATGCGCCAGTCTCTCCAATTTGCAACTGCAAGTCAGATTTTCAACTTTGTGTTAAACAAGACTTGTTTCTTGATCTTTCTTGTTTTATCAATGTTTTGTCGTGGCGACCTTTACGAATGCCATAGAATGGAAGGAAAACAGACGTTTCACATCAAAAGTAGCATTGTGTAACGAGCATAGTTTTAATTAACTTTGCTTATTTAGGGTTCATGAAGACATCCAACTCAATGTACTAAAATTTTGATTCATTATTCCAGTTTCTTAGGAGCAGATTTGTTAAATTCAAAAGGATAAAAACATTGACCATTCCAAATCTTTTACTATTTATTGATTCATTCAGACCAGTTGGCTTAGCATTTCTTGCATTTTTTTCATTGTTTCGGATCTGGCAGAAAAAACGGTTACTATTATACATTGAGAGCGGGGACCAGTTTCTTCATCTTATTGTTTTTATATAGAATGTTTTTGTCTATCAGCCCATTCAGCCTTCCTCATCTTTTTACTATTATACATTGATTCATTCAGACCAGTTTCTTCATCTTTGTTGTCTTTATTATAACATTTTGGTCACTCAACCCTCAGCCTTCCTTCTTTTCTATCTGAATTTCTCAGATGAGTTTGTTCTCTTACTATTATACATTGATTCATTCAGACCAGTTTCCTCATCTTTGTTGTTTTATTATAACATTTTGGTCCTCTACCCTTTGGCCTTCTTTTCTATCTGAATTTCTCAGATGAGGTCTTGTTACTATTATACATTGATTCATTCAGTCTTCCTCTTTTTTCCTCAATCTTTCCTGGCCACTGCAGCCTTCCTCATCTTTTATTATAACATTGATTCATTCAGACCAGTTTCTTCATCTTTCTTGTTTTTTATCACAATGTTTCTTTCTATCTGAATTTCTAAGATCCTCATGTTGTTACTATTATACATTGATTCATTCAGACCAGTTTCTTCATCTTTGTTGTTTTTATTATAATGTTTTGGTCACTCTACCTCAGCCTTCCTCATCTTTTCTATCTGAATTTCTCAGATGAGATCTTTCTTGTTTTTATACATTGTTTTCATTCAGACTGCAGCCTTCCTCATCTTTGTTGTCTTTATTATAACATTTTGGTCATTCACCAGTTTCTTCAGGCCTTCTTTTCTATCTGAATTTTCAGATGATGTGTTCTTACTATTATACATTGATTCATTCAGACCAGTGTTTTTTTCATCTTTTGTTCTTTCTTTTTATTATGATTCATTTTCAGACCAGTTTCTTCATCTTTCTTGTTTTTATCACAATGTTTTTTCTATCTGAATTTCAGATGATCTTGTTCTTACTATTATACATTGATTCATTCAGACCAGTTTCTTCATCTTTCTTGTCTTTATCATAATGTTTTGGTCACTCTACCCTCAGGCCTTCTTTCTATCTGAATTCCTCAGATTGTGTTCTATTATTATACATTGATTCATTCAGACCAGTTTCCTCATGAGCAATTTGTCTTTATTAAAACATTTTTATCTCTTACCCTCAGGCCTTCTTTTACTATATCTGAATTTCTCAGATGAGATGTTCAAAACTTGTTTTATACATTGATTCATTCAGACCAGTTTCTCATCTCATCTTGTTTTTATTATAACATTTTGGTTTTTTCTACCTTTCAGGCCTTTCTTGCTATCTGAATTTTCTCAGATGATTGTTCTTACTATTATACATTGATTCATTCAGACCAGTTTTCATCTTTCTTGTCTTTATCATAAATTTTGGTCCTCTACCCTCATGCAGCTTTTTCTATCTGAATTTTCTCAGATGAGGTGTTCTTAATAGTTATACATTTTCATTCAGACCAGTTTTCTCAATCTTTTTTGTCTTTATTATTCAACATTTCCTCATCTTGTTACTTTATACATTGATTCATTCTGAAGTTTCTTGATGAGGTGTTTTTATCACAATGTTTTTGTTACCTGGACATTAAATCATCTTGTTGATATCATTGATTCATTCAGACCAGTTTCCTTCATCTTTTTGTCTTTTTATAACAATGTTTTTGTCATCTACCCTCAGGCCTTCTTTCTATCTGAATTTCATTCAGATGAGGTGTTTTTCTTGTTTTATACAATCTTTTTTCAAAAAGCCCAGTTTCCTCATCTTTGTTGGATCTTTATTATAATTTTTTGGTTTGAATTCTATTTCTTGTTTTTATCCTTCTTTCTATCTGAATTTCTCAGATGAGGTGTTCTTACTATTATACATTGATTCATTCAGACCAGTTTCCTCATCTTTTTTTGTCTTTATTATAACATTTTTGGTCACTCTACCCTCAGGCCTTCTTTCTATCTGAATTTCTCAGATGATGTGTAATTTTATCTATTATACATTGATTCATTCAGACCAGTTTCATCATTTTTCTTCTTTATTATAACATTTTGGTCATCTCTACCCTCAGGCCTTCTTTCTATCTGAATTTCTCAGATGATGTGTTCTTACTATTATACATTGATTCATTCAGACCAGTTTCCTCATCTTTGTTGTCTTTATTATAACATTTTGGTCAGTTTCTACCCTCAGGCCTTCTTTCTATCTGAATTTCTCAGATCTGTTTTACTATTATACATTGATTCATTCAGACCAGTTTCTTCATCTTTCTTGTCTTTATTATAACATTTTGGTCACTCTACCCTCAGGCCTTTTTCTATCTGAATTTCATTCAGATGATGTGTTCTTATTTTACTATTATACATTGATTCATTCAACTAACCAGTTTCCTCATCTTTTATTGTCTTTATTATAACATTTTGGTCACTTTACCCTCAGGCCTTCTTTCTATCTGAATTTCTCAGATGAGGTGTTCTTATTATTATACATTGATTCATTCAGACCAGTTTTTTCATCTTTGTTGTCTTTATTATAACATTTTGGTCACTTCTACCCTCAGGCCTTCTTTCTTATCTTGTTTTTCTCAGATGAGGGTTTTTCTTCATCTTGTTACTATACATTCATTCAGACCAGTTTCTTCATCTTTGTTGTCTTTATTATAACATTTTGTTCTACCCTCAGGCCTTCTTTCTATCTGAATTTCTCAGATGAGGTGTTCTTGTTTATTATACATTGATTCATTCAGACCAGTTTCCTCATTTTTGTTGTCTTTATTATAACATTTTGGTCTCTACCCTCAGGCCTTCTTTCTATCTGAATTTCTTCAGATAAGGTATTTCTTACTAGTTTATACATTGATTCATTCAGACCAGTTTTTTCATCTTTGTTGTCATTTATTATAACATTTTGGTCACTCAGTTTTTCAGGAAATTTTTATCATCTGAATTTAATCAGATGAGGTGTTTTATTATTATACATTGATTCATTCAGACCATTTCTTCATCTTTCTTGTTTTTATTATAATGTTTTGGTCATTCTGGCCCCTCAGGCCTTCTTTCTATCTGATTTCTCAGATGATTTGTTCTTACTATTATACATTGATTCATTCAGAAGTTTCTTAAAAATCTTTTTGTTTTGTCTTTATTATACAATTTTTTGTCATCTACCCTCAGGCCAAATTTTTCTATCTAAAATTTCTCAGATGAGGTGTTCAGACCAGTTTCTTCATCTTTCTTGTTTGATTCATTCAGACCAGTTTTCCTCATCTCATGTTGTCTTTTATTATAACATTTTGGTTAATTCTACATTGTTTTTATTTAATGTTTTTTATCTTTCTATTTGAATTTCTCAGATGACTTTGTTCTTACTATTATACATTGATTCATTCAGACCAGTTTCCTCATCTTTTTGTTTATTTATTATAACATTTTGGTCACTCTACCCTCAGGCCATCTTGTTTATATACATTTTTGAATTTCTGAGATGAGGTGTTCTTACTATTATACATTGATTCATTCAGACCAGTTTCTCATTTTTTACCAATGTTTTGTCTTTATTTTAACATTTATACATTGATTCATTCAGACCAGTTTCTTTATCTCAGGCCATTTTCTATCTGATGTTTTTCTCAGATGAGGTGTTCTTACTATTATACATTGATTCATTCAGACCAGTTTCTTCATCTTTGTTGTTTTTATTATAACATTTTGGTCATCTACCCTCAGGCCATTTTCTATCTGAATTTCTCAGATGAGGTCTTTCTTACTATTATACATTGATTCATTCAGACCAGTTTCCTCATCTTTGTTGTCTTTATTATAACATTTTGTGTCCATCCCTCAGGCTTCCTCATCTTGTTTATTATCTGAATTTTCAGATGTTCTTGTTCTTTGTTTTTATACAATTTTTTCATTCAGACCACTGTTTCCTCATCTTTATTGTCATTTTATTATAACATTTTTTTCAATTTTTCTTGTTTTTATCACAATCTTTTTATCATCTTTCTTGATGATTTGTCATCTTGTTACTATTATACATTGATTCATTCAGACCAGTTTCTTCATCTTTTCTTGTTTTTTATTATAACATTTTGGACCCTCAGGCCTTCTTCATATCTATTATAATTTCATTCAGAACAGTTTCTTATTTTTCTTTGTTTTTTGATTCATTCAGACCAGTTTCCTCATCTTTTGTTTATCTTTATTATAACATTTTGGTCACTCTACCCTCAGGCATCTTTCTTGTTTTTCTATCTGAATTTCTCAGATGAGCCTTCCTCATGTTGTTACTATTATACATTGATTCATTCAGACCAGTTTCTTCATCTTTCTTGTTTTCCTCAATCTTTGTTGTCTTTCATTGTTAATTATTACATTGATTCATTCCTCAGGTTTCTTCATCTTTCTTGTTTTTATCTGAATTTCTCAGATGAGGTGTTCTTGTTACTATTATACATTGATTCATTCAGACCAGTTTCTTCATCTTTCTTTTTTTTATCTTTTTTATAACATTTTGGCCTTCCTCATCTTGTTACTATTATACATTGATTCATTCAGACCAGTTTTTCATCTTTCTTGTTTTTATGAATGTTTTTCTCAGATGCAGCCTTCCTCATCTTGTTACTATTATACATTGATTCATTCAGACCAGTTTCTTCATCTTTGTTTTTATTTAAATTTTTTGTTGCCCTGGCCTTCTTTTTATCTGAATTCCTCATCTTGTTACTATTATACATTGATTCATTCAGACCAGTTTTTCATCATCTTTCTTGTTTTTATCACAACATTTTTTGTCATCTGGCCACTGCAGCCTTCCTCATCTTGTTACTATTATACATTGATTCATTCAGGCCAGTTTCTTCATCTTTCTTGTTTTTATCAATGTTTTGTCATGAGGTGCCTTTCATCTTGTTACTATTATACATTGATTCATTCAGACCAGTTTTTCATCTTTCTTTTTTTTTATTTATTATGGCCACTGCAGCCTTCCTCATTTTACTATTATACATTGATTCATTCAGACCAGTTTCTTCATCTTTCTTTTTTTATCACAATGTTTTGTCATCTGGCACTGCAGCCTTCCTCATCTTGTTACTATTATACATTGATTCATTCAGACCAGTTTCTTCATCTTTCTTGTCTTTATTACAACATTTTGTCATCTGGCCACTACCCTCATCTTGCTTATTTATTTTACATTGATTCATTCAGACCATTTCTTCATCTTTCTTGTTTTCTTCACAATGTTACATTGGCCACTGCAGCCTTCCTCATCTTGTTACTATTATACATTGATTCATTCAGACCAGTTTCTTCATCTTTCTTGTTTTTTATAACAATTTTTGTCATCTCTGCAGCCTTCCTCATCTTGTTACTATTATACATTGATTCATTCAGACCAGTTTCTTCATCTTTCTTGTTTTTATCACAATGTCTCAGATGCAGCCTTCCCTCATCTTGTTACTATTATACATTGATTCATTCAGACCAGTTTCCTTCATCTTTCTTGTTTTTATCTTAATGTTTTGTCATAACATTTTTCCTCATCTTGTTACTATTATACATTGATTCATTCAGACCAGTTTCTTCATTTTTCTTGTTTTTTTCACAATGTTTTGTCATGAGCCACTGCAGCCTTCCTCATCTTGTTACTATTATACATTGATTCATTCAGAGTTTCTTCATCTTTCTTGTTTAACAATCTTTATTCTGTCTTTATTGTTTTTAACATTTTTTTGGTCATTCAGACCAGTTTCTTCATTTTCTTTTTTATCAATGTTTTTCAGATGAGGTTCCTCATCTTGTTACTATTATACATTGATTCATTCAGACCAGTTTCTTCATCTTTCTTGTTTTTACAACAATTTTTTTGTCATTGGCCACTGCAGCCTTCC